CCCCCACAAACTAAAAAGCATGTCAGAGCCTTCCTTGGTCTGGCCAGGTACTACAGGTGGTTTGTCCCTGACCTTGGGGCAACTGCTACCTCCCCTGCATGAGCTGACAAAAAAGGACAACCCTGATCAGGTAGTCTGGAAGACAGGATGTCAAGAGGTATTTGACACCTTGAAGGCTACCCTGATCAAACAGCCAATTTGAAGGGCACTGGACTATGATGAGCCCTTTTGCACAGCTACTGATGCCTCATACACCAGACTTGGAGCTGTACTCCTGCAGGAGCACGAAGGGATATGATACCTCATGGCTTACTTAAGCCAGAAGTTGATGCCCCGTGAGCAGAACCTATCGTCTATACAGAAGGAGTGCATGGCAATTGTCTGGGTGCTGAACAAGCTGAGGCCCTATCTGTGGGGACAGCAGTTCACTGTCCTATCAGACCATGCCCCGCTTCAATGGCTGCAGACAAGGCAGAACACAAATGCCAAGCCTCAAAGATGGGCATGGCAGTTTCAGGAATTCAACACGACCGTGGAACACATCAAAGGAAACTAGAACGTGTTAGCAGACTCACTGTCCAGAAAAGACTCTGGGTAACCGGCCAGAAAATGCAGGACCACCCCAAAGCGCTCTGGCGCTTGGACACCCCAACTTTTTCTATTTTTATATGGGTATTGTTGTTTTAGCTAGTCTTATGTGTTATTTCGGTTTTTTCTTTTTAGGTAATGAAGACAACCTCCCTAAACAAAAAAATGCCTGTGCCCACAGCCCTGTAAAGTAATGGGCACAGGCTTTTGAAAGTGGGGAGGGGTCTGAAGAAATCCCCTCTGTCTGTCACTGTTTTGCTGTGTGTCTTGTTTGGGCTATGAGCTTTGCTTCCTTCCATCCCCCCCTTACTGTGTCCAGATCCTTTGTCTTAAGGTTCCTGCCAATAAACCTGTGGGACCAGTTTTGTGACACTGGTCACTCCACCAGGGGTTGCTGATGACTTTTTAAAGGATTGGGCTACAACAGCAGTGTTCAGGAGATGCTTGTTTTTGGTTGGAAAGGGGTTGCTGATGACTTTTTAAAGGATTGGGCTACAACAGCAGTGTTCAGGAGATGCTTGTTTTTGGTTGGAACAGGTGATGAGGTCAGAAAAGTTATTTAAAGGTCAGGTCACCTGGTCTGGGGGGCTTCCTCCAGCAGGCATTTTTGGAAACACATACCAAAGCATGGGCCTCCAGAATCCTCTGGATGTATATGTAAGTAGCTTACCTGAAATTTAGCCAGTAAATTAGGGTTATGTATCTTTAGCCACATGTTAAAAGGGCCAACAAGCCCATTCTGTTTTGCTCAAGGCATTTTCTTTAATACTCCTCTGTCTTGTACCCCTCTCCCATTTTCCCCCTTCTCTGATCAATAAAACTACCTGTTACAGCATGCCTAGCTGTAAATGCTTGAGTGGAGGGACAGGCCTTTTTGCTCCTAGCAGAGCTCAGCTGATTATTATCTGATTCTGCCTTACCTGAAAATTTCCTGGGTGGCTCCAGGCTAGAAGGAGTACCCAGAAATACTACCAATGGGCGAAGCATCCCCAAGGTCTGCAGGGTCTGTTTACCCTGGGCTGCACAGAGCCCTAACAGAGACCAGAGCCTGGGTGGTGGCAGCGATTACCCCAGGCTTACGGGTGTGCTCCAGGAAGGGGGTTGGCTGGATGTAGGCGCCCCAAGGGAGACACCCAAAGTGGGGTTTTGGTTGGGCACAGTGAGGTGGGTGGCTCAGTGTAGTAGCACCCCCTACTGTCTTGCCACACCTCCAACAGAAAGCTCTGCTAGCAGCAGCCTTCTGCATGAGTCCCACCTTTCTGAGGGGCAGCCACAGCCAGGAGTCTACCCTTCTGAGAAGAGCACCTACCAGGGTAGGTCTAATCTGAGTCTATTCCCAATGACCCTCAGAGCTATCTTGTTTGGAGTCTTGTACTCCTGGTACTGTCTCCCCTGGTGAACAGGTTTGAGGTGAGGTCCCAAACTGAGCATGATCCAAATTCCTGAAGACCCTAATGGCAGACCAGGTATACTTGAGGACCTGCTGGTTCTCTGCAGCTGTGAAGGCAGACAAGGGCTACAGCTGGATGGACATCTCCGGTTGTCTGGGACATCCTTGGGTTCAGGGCTCCTTCCTGTCGAGTTTGTGTTACTGTCACTTGTGCACCAGCTTCCCCACATTAAAAGATGTCATGTGCAGGCCTCTGCCAGGGATGTTAACATTTCCCACTGACCAAGTCCTGTGGCAATGGGTGAGTGGCAGTGGGGGCAGGAACAGTGATTTCTGGAAGTCCCTAGTCACAAATCTGCACATAGGTGGTGGTCATAGGATGGTCATTTTGTACTTACCAAGATAGAAGCACATTTTGGCAGCTGCAGCTGTGACTGAGCACTCCTTTTTAGGATCCCCTCTGCTCACCCTGAATGGGGAAGAGACTAGAAAAGGTGTCCTAAACACAGGCTGTCTCAAAGCCCCTGGGCTGGATTGCTGCATCCAGTGGGATCACTCTATCTGCAGCCAAAACCAATAAAATAAAGTACTGACATTCACCACATGGAATGTTTTCGTTCTCACAGACTCTCCAAACAGTGAGTGTCCTGAAAGAAGAACCATCATGGTAGCTAGAGAACTTGCAAGAAATAACATCAATATTGCTGCCCTAAGCGAGACTCACTGAGCAGATGAAGGCCAGCTGAAAGGAGGTGGCTATACCTTTTTTTTTTTTTTTTTTTTTGGAAAAGAAAGTCACCTGATGAGAGGCACATTCACGGGGTTTTCTTTGCCATCAAGAACAAGATTGTTAGTTAGCTTTCAGAACTCCCTGTGGGCATTAATGAACATCTTATGACTCTCTGCCTCAAGCTCAGTAACAACCAGTATGCTGTGGTCATCAATGCGTATACCCCCGTACTTAATGATGAAGAAGTCAACAAGGAACAGTTCTACTGTGCTCTTGACACAGTCCTGACTGCCACTGCCAAGGAAGACAAGCTCATCCTCATGGGTGACTTCGATGCAAGAGCTGGGTGACACTGAACTCCAGAGTGGCACCATTGGGAAAGAGGGAGTGGGGAAAGTCAATTCCAATGGTATCCTCCTCAGCAAATGTGCAGAGCATGACTTGCTCATCACGAATGCTATCTTCATACAGAGTGACAAATATAAGACCACTTGTAAACACCCACATTCCAATCACTGTCACCTTCTTGACTATATTACTGTCAGAGCCCATGATCATACTGATGTCTGTATATCACCCAAGTCCTGAGAGGTGCAGATGACTGTTGAGTGGACCATCATTTAGTTGGATCAATCATGGACATGCAGCTTGCACCACAACACTGTAAACAAAAGAAAGGAATGCAGAAGAGATTGAACATCAAGGCACTTCAAGGCCAAGATAGACGTGAGGCTCTTCAGCAATGCCTTATTGAGAGGTTCTCTGACCTATGTGATGACATCAAGCACATCCAGGCACATTGGGAGGAGCTTAAGAATGTTATTCACAAGACATGCACTGAATCAGTTGGATACTCCATTACCATCATCAAGATTGGTTCAATGAGAATAATGAGGAAATCCTAGCACTTATCCATCAGAAGAGAACCACGTTCCACTGTTGGCAAAATGAACCCTCCAACCAGCAAAAAACAAGAAGTTTACCACTGGCTTAAAGGTGTAGTTCAGAGGAGGCTACAGGACATCAAGAGCCAGTGTTGGCAAGCAAAGGCCATGGAAATCCAGTGTTTCACTGATCAACATAACATGAGAAACTTCTTTCAAGCAATAAAAGCCATGTGGCCAGCCTGGAGAGGGTTCAGAGGAGGGCTACCTGCTTGGTGAGAGGGCAGCAGGACAGGCCCTACAAAGAGAGACTGAAGGACCTGAACCTGTTCAGCCTCAGCAAGAGAAGGCTGAGGGGGGACCTGGTGGCTGCCTACAAACTCATCAGGGGAGATCAACAGCAAATAGGTAGAGAGCCCTTTTCTCCCCAGCACCACCTGGGGTGACAAGGAACAATGGTAATAAGCTGATGGAGAGTAGGTTTAGGTTAGAGATCAGAAGGCAATATTTGACAGTTAGGGTGGCCAAAATCTGGAACCAACTTCCCAGAGAAGTGGTCCTCGCCTCTACTTTGGGCAAATTCAAGAGGAGGTTGGATGATCACCTGTCTGGGGTCTTGTGA